CTATCTTAACAATATTCAATACTGTGCAGTCACGTTATGATAATAAAATTAATTTCCCTGGAATAATTCAGATATCTAAAAAGTTTTTTAGTTAAAATATTATTTTACTCCTTCCAGTTTTTAATTTTTTTTTGAAGTACCTTCGAGCTTTTATTTGCCTGTATGATTTGTTGGATTTTTTCGTTATTATATTTTCTTTAATCTTATCTGATTGCTTTGTGTACTTCTTGATTCATCTTCTTTATTTTTTACTTATTTAAAAAATCTAAAATTGGTTAAAACATCTAACATAATAGTTTTTACTGCAAAAAGGATTAAAGAGTTCTTAAATTTACAACTTTTTTTATTAAAATTACTTACTAGAATGAAAAAAACTTTGATTTAATTATAAAAGTATGAATTTCTTTAAGGTTTAACCTTTTTTTTAATTGTCGTATTGCCAGATTCCAGTAAGAGTCTAAGAAGGTATCCATTGAATTCTGACAGGCAACGGTGGGGGAATTTTTTTTTGGACATCTACGTCACGCAACAAGTCACCCTGGCATCTTTCGGCCGAGTAGGATACTAGGCCATAAGACCCCAGGGCACTGCCCGATTAACCGTGTTTCGGCTAAAACCTTAACCCCACCGTTCCAGAGAGGTGGTCTTGCCACTCAATAAACAACTAAAATAAAAAACTTAAAATTAAAAAAATATATCTATTACCGTAAATCAGAAGATGTGTCAGACATTAGGCCATAAACTAATAAATAATATTAACCATACATTTCAGATCCCTGGCTTAATATCATCCTCTGTCCTCCTGTTCCCTTTTTCTTCATCACCCGAGAAATCAGACAGTGTACTTCTCTCCATTCTTGCTCTCCTTTCAACATTATGTTTACAATGTTTCTTTCAACCAGCCCGAAACCCATTCGCCTCTCGAAATCTCCCCTCTCATTTGCCTATCTCTGGCAGTTAAAAATGTGGGCGAGAGCGTCCAGTACCCCACAAACAGTACAGTCTGCCGAGACAGATTTGCCTATTCTATTTGTGAAGGTGCCAAAACTACCATGTCCGGTCAGAAACTGCGTCAGGAAGTAGTCTAGTTTCCTAAACTTACATTCCCACCACAGTCTCAGATAGGGAATAAGCTCCTTCGTCTACCTTGCCTTTCCACTTTCATTTGCCCATTCTCTCTGCCACTCTACTATCGTTCTTTCTCTCTCATTCTCATTTATATTTACATCCATCCTCCTCGCATAAACCTCGCTTGCTCTTTGCACAACAATACGATCGGTATCACCGCTCTAGTGACATATCTGTCAATCCTCATTTGAAACTGTCCTATATGCGCTAGATATTCTGAGGAGAATTCACGTTTGCGAAGTTTCCATCAGCTTAGCGTATTTCACAGTTTTCCTTACGCTATACCACACGGGGACAGCGTAGTTTACCACCGACTGGAAAACTCCATTTAGCACCTTTCTTTTGGTGCTACCTGGGCCTCCAATGTTTGTAATCAGCCGTATCAACGCCTCCAGATTTTGGTTCCGCTTCTCTATCGTCTTTTGGATGTGTACTTCGAACCTTAGTCCATCCGACAACCAGACTCACAGATACTTAAACGATTTAACCGGTGTAACCTCCATACCTTCCACTATAAAGCGAAGAGAGGATTTTTCCCGGCTCTTTTGATAACTAAACTTCTGTTTTCTAAGGCGCTAGCCGTAGATCGTTCTCTCTGATCCACCTACTAATGCGACGCAGGGCTGTGTTAGCCGCATTAGTCATGTCCGTTTTCTGACTCGCCTTGCAACAAGTGCGAGATCATCCAGCATAAGCTACAAGAGTGCATTCCCTTGGCATTTGTAGCCTCAACATCCCGTCGTACAGGACATTCCACAGGATAGGATCTAGTACTGAACCCTGCGGAGCACCCTGAGACAAACTAATGCTGGTATCTTTTTCTCTTATGGACCTGTCAGTAAATTATCTGTCAATTACGTTAACCAGATACTCACTAACACCCAATTCTCTCAGCCAGGACATGATTTTTCCCATGATGCCGTATTAAAAGTATTCTTGACGTCAAGCAGGATGAGAGCTATCCATCTCTTTGTATCCTGCGTAACTAATGAGGTTACTTCTGTGACCACATCTATGGTGGACCTTTTGACCCTAAAACCATCTTCATCCGTCCAACAGCCTCGCCGAGTTCCAACTCAGTGAAAGGTTCCGCATCTACGAAACCAATAACCCTTTCACGCCTATCCTCCACCTGAGGAAAGAGTTTCCGTATTAAACGGAGTTTTTCCTCTTCAGGGAAAGGGGAAGGGTGTCTTTTTCCCCTACAATTTGGTACAGACAATCTTGAAGATCCTAAAGAAGGTTACTCCACCTTTCTTTCTTAGATCTTCTTATCTCATTCCTGTATTCATTCTGCATTAGCTTTAATTGATTTATTCTCTTTTCCAAATCTCCTGCTTGTACTCTTCTTAACCTCTTACACCTCCTTCTTACTCTTTTTCAGTTTGTCTTCAGATTTTCAAGCGGCTCGTTCTACTAGTATGGTTATTTTCTTTCATACCTCCCATTTGATCTTACACAAGCCAACTCCTGTGCATCACTCAGAACCTTAATTAACTCACGCACATCCTCACATCCCGGACCAATCAAGCCAAAAGCATCTACAATAACCTCCTCATTTAAACATCTCTTTAGATTAATATCCCTATTTTTACGTTTGTCTCTTTTGCTAGCTATTTCAAAACTCACATACTTGTGTAAGCTAAGCGATTTTTTTCCAAAACAGTCCAGCTTACGACCCTATTTAGAAATGTCGTTGAAGCCAGTGTGATGTCCAGAAAGGATTCACTATTACCTCTTACGAATGTAGGTGCCTTACCGTCATTTAACATATATTTACTGATATTATTACCGGTGACACTATGTTATCAACTATGTTGAAACGCCTTTTTAGTCCGTCAGCTGGGTACCTTTCGATATGCATGGAAGGGTGGATAGATGAAAATGTATGTATCCTATGAAAAATTTTTCGCTCAATGCGAATTTGTATGTCCCCCATCTCAAAAAGTGGTACAAATCAAACAATTTTTTTGCAAATAAATTTTCAAATTTAAATATTTTAATTTACAATAAGTCCCATCGTAAAGTACGTACGTAAAGTAAGGCTACATTAAGAGTGCTATATGTTAATGAATTTGTTAATAATTTTTAAACTATAAACTTATAGATAGATAATATATATATATATATATAATATATATATATATATATATATATATAATATATCTTCTTCTTCTTCGGGTTCCTTCTCCTAGCGGAGGTTGGAAATCATCATCGCTATTTTAACTTTGTTGGCCGCATTTCTGAATAATTCTAATGAGCTGCAGCCGAACCACTCTCAAATTTCTTAGCCAGGACATTTTGCGTCGTCCTGGGTTTCTCTTCCCTTGTATCTTCCCTTGCATAATCAACCTCAGTAATACGTACTTCTCACCCCTCTTTCTAATTTTAACAGTTGTTATGACTTCACATTCATTCTTCATTCTTTGTAACACTTCTATATTAGTTATTTTTTCAATCCACGATATTTTATGCATTCTCCTGTAGCACCACATCTCAAAGGAGTTTAATTTTTTGATTTCAGACTGCTTTATTGTCCACGCTTCCATGCCATATAGTAAAGTAGAGAAGACGTAACAACGTAGCATTCTTGTGCGAATCTCTAGATTAAGGTTACGGTTGCAAAGTAATTTCTTCAATTTTATGAACGTGTTTCTTGCTATTTCTATTCTAGATCTGATCTCCTTTACTTGATCTCCATCTTCGATTAGCCACGTACCTAAATATTTATATGTTTTTACTCTTTCTATCGTTGTATTATTGATGATCAGGTTATTTACATTTTGTGGTTTTTTTGAGAATATCATTGATTTCGTTTTCTTGAGATTCATTTGCAGTCCGTAACTTTCACATGCATTGTATACATGTTGTATTATGTACTGTAGATCTTCCATGTCACTTGCAAATATGACAGTATCGTCGGCATATCTAATATTATTAATGCTATTTCCGTTGACATAAATACCTTCCACGATATCCAATAAAGCCTCTTGAAAAATCACTTCACTGTAGACGTTGAATAAGAGTGGTGAAAGGATACACCCTTGTCGAACTCCTCTAAGTATACTTACTTCCTCTGTCAGTTCTCCTTCGACTCTTACTCTTGCTTTCTGGTTTTGATACAGATTCGATATAATTTGTAGATCTCTACTATCAATGTTTTTAGTCTTAAGAATACTTAAAAGCTTCTCATGTATATATATATATATATATATATATATATATATATATATATATATATATAAGTTTATAGTTTAAAAATTATTAACAAATTCGTCTAAAAAAGTCCAGAAATTGAAAATTTTACCTAATTACCTCATAACTTTTTAAATGGTGCATATTTCTCTAACAGCTTTACATAAATAGAAAGTTTGAACCTATTTTGACATTTAATTGAGTTAACAAGAAATATACAAATAGCTTTTCGCCTTTGCAGAATTAATCATCCATGTATACGACGGGACAGTATGTTGAATAAAATAAATAAATTTAATAAGTATAATAGTCACTTTTATTGATTTATAACAAACAACTAAAAATTGTAAAATAGATACCGGAATAAAACCATTACCTATTCCATACAAACATTTTTAAATGTCCATTTTATGTACCCTGTAAATAAAATATAGGCACCCACACCTGAAACTGACTGCTTCTACAAAGTTATTACTCCTGAGCCCCAAACATACTCATTATGAAATCTAATAGAAATCTACAATCTCTGTCACACAAAAACAAAGTTTCACATATAGATGGCGGATTTTTTTACACATATTGTGTTCGATATTAGAAAATCTAAATAACAAGGACTTTTTTATTTAAGAAATTATTGAGTGATTTATAGTGATAAAAATTACTTTTTTTGCTTTTAGGTCAAAAGTATAAAGTGGAGTTCATGGTTCTTGTTGCTGATTTCACCGATACCGATCAAATTTATAGCGACATCGAAAAGAAATTGAGTGGTTTGGATATTGGTGTTCTAATCAACAACGTCGGTATGAGTTACAACCATCCAGAATACTTTTTAGATGTAAAAGAAAAAGATAAATTCTTTGCAAACCTTATCAACTGCAACATTTTCTCCGTTACAAACATGTGCAAGATTGTAATGCCCGGAATGGTAGAACGAAGAAGGGGAGTAGTTGTCAATATTTCTTCCACTGCAGCTCAAATCCCCAATCCTTTGCTAACTGTATACGCTGCTTCAAAAGCGTATGTGGTTAAGTTCTCTGAGGACCTTGCATCGGAGTACTCTAAATTTGGCATTACTGTACAGTGCTTGTTGCCAGGTTATGTTGCTACTAATATGTCAAAGATAAAGAGCTCAACTTGGATGGCTCCTTCTCCATTAGCTTACGTCACAGAAGCCATAAAAACTATAGGAGTTAAAGAAAAAACTACTGGATACTTTCCTCATACCTTATTAGTGTCAGTACTTAACACATTAGACTGCATCTCACCAAAACTATCCCGGTGGGTGATCTTTAGGACCATGACCAATATAAGAAAGAGGGCTTTAAGAAGAGCAGTACAGTAACGTGAGAATATTGTTTTATAGTCAATAAAGGATTTGATATACACCCATACACTACACAGCAACAGATTTTTTAAATTGATGTCACAAATTTTATTTATTAAAAAAAAACTGTACTGGAGATTTGGCAGTTGCTGTGGTAGCGTAAACAATCTTCAAATATTAGTCTATAGAGTTTTATTTTACATTTAGAAAATATTGGGTCTCTGTTTTTAAAACTAATGTATACACTTAATATTGGTACCCTCTAGAATTAGTAGGAAAACTCTGTACCTCATATTTCAATGTAAAATCAAACTATAACATAAATATTACCACTAAATAAAGATTTTATCAAATGTTTTTGACAGTGTGATAGACCTTCAAATTAAGCCATTAATATCCAATGAATTTGTTCCTTACCTTTAGCAACATATGTTCTCAACAAATTGAAATGTGAATTGTATTGTAAAATATTCTGTTTAAATTGTTGTTTGTTATATTATTTATATTGTTATATATAACTGAATAAAATAATTTAAATACTTATTACAATTTTATTTATATCAATTTAGAAAATCATAGAATACAAAAGCACAAAAGATGAAAAAAAAATATCTTGGAACATTGAAGAATAAAACGAAGAATCAAAAAGTAATGGTACAAAATAAAAAACACAATGCTACAAGTAACTGCACCCTCTCCTCCATGCTGTAGCATACTTTTATATATATTTAAAGAGAAGAAGGAAAATCGGCATACAGACACCTGTGAGGTAATGTTGGGTTCCTAATACCCTAGGGAAGTTGTGATAGGACGAGATTACTCTATCAGGATGGAAGGGCCGGTTAAGACAAAACATTTCTCCTGATGGTCTGCTATCACCTGATTCCCATTTTTCCGTTCATCGAAAAAACCACATCCATATGAACCACCAATTTTCACCCTTCCCCCCCCCCACCCGCCATAGCGAAACTCCCATCTCTCTCACATCGTCGTCTCCCTCTGATTTTCTCGACTATTTCGACCCTGTGACAGTCCGAACCCCACCGAGGTGCTACTCGCTTGTTTCAGAATTCCGTTGTGAGTTCTCTCTCTTTTCGTTCTTTTGAAGAGAGCAACTCCTTGACAATTTTTTTCTTCCACGGAATCAAACATTCTGCAGTTACACTCTCTTTTAAACTTCTCTCTTTCATCCGCCCATCGCTCACACTCCAACATTGTGTGTCTCACAGTATCCGAAAGACGAAAGCCTATAGTAGAGCCACTGATCAGACTATGCCCTCCTAATCAGGTATCTACTAAAGCAGTCATGACCTGTGAGCATTGACGTCAGGTAATAATCCAGCTGGGTGGACTGTGGACAGCTTCGAAGTTTCGGAATTATTGACTTTCTCCACTTCGCAATATCATATCTTACTTCCCACTCTTCCTGCCACTGGCCGATTAAAACTGAACCACGCAAAACATGCAGCCCTCGGCAGATACATCTACAGTTCCCCGTCCACCGGATTAATTATTTCTTGAAGAACCACCAATAAGTTCTGAACAGAGCTTATCGCATCCTTCAGCAGTACCTAGATTTATCTAGGCAACTATATGCTGCCAGTGTTTGACAGAAGTCAGTGTCACTGCTATATTAATTTCTATTGTTTTTGTTAACATTATGTGTAATATTTATGTTGATTAAAACCTTATATCCTAGGTTTTGCTTTATTATTTCAGGAATGAATGGCTATATTATGTACTTATTGATCACACATGTAAAGAAGAAACTAAAATCAACTTGAGACTGACCAAGAGCAACATATGTGCTGGGACCAGGAACAAAATAATTAAGGCCAAATATATATCTCGTAGTAGAAAAATAAGAGTATATAAAACTATAATTATTAGATCCACAATGCTATATGCTGCCTATGCTACAAACTAATGTAGAAGTGTACCAATTGTATGTTAACTGTCCAATAAGAAAAGTAGCGAACAAACGTAAACTAGAATAGTTCGGACATCTAGAAAGAATGCAAGTCAAGAATATTAGTTGGAGAAAACTTGAGGGTAAAAAAAGAAAGGAAGACTAAGAAAAAATATGGTAATCAGATAAGAGAGATGGGAATCAGAGATTGGAAGCTGATCATAAAAATAACTAGCTACCATAGAAAACAGCAACCATGCTATACAATTTCTATGGGTTTCTTCACACATTAGCCTTCAAGGAAATTACGAAGCGGATGGCTTAGGCCAACAAGTAAGAAATAGTGAAACCGCGAGTGATGTAAAACATGTAGTTCTAAATAACTTGCAATCATTTGTTAAAGTGATCATCGTCGTTGTGTATTAGGCATGTCCTTGCAGAGTGTCCAAGATACCAAGACAGACAGATACTCCGAGGTTGATGCGACTATGCTTGTAAAATAATAAAAAAAATGTTTTACAACTAATAATCTATTTTATTTTATATTACTACTCAGAATAAATAAATAATTAAATACTTAAAATACTGTTAATTTGTACAAATAAAAAAATAGGAAAGCTAAATAAATCTAATTAGTCTTTGAATCCAATAAAACGATTTTTCTCGTCAATTTCCATCTTAACTGGTGCGATACTTTCTCCGATAACTTCAACTGTCTCTGGTACTTGGCCATCTTCAGAAGCAATAATGGCAACTGGTTGAAGAACTGGTACTAGTTGTGCTTTTAATAAGTTATGCTTTATATCAACTGGTTCAATTGGACTATTTCGTATAATAACTTCAGCTACTTGGATAGGCTTAAGTTGATCATCGGCTGCAACTACGTTTTGTTGAATTGGAGCTTCAATAGAACTTAACTATTGCCTGAACTGCATCATTTGCAACATTAGTAGCTGGTGTTTCGACTATATTAATTTGCTCGGAAATAAATGGAACAGATTTAATTACTCCAGAATTAATTTGTGCTGTTGTTGGGATTTTAGATGCAATTGACTCAGATAAGATACCCTGCGAATCTGCAGACTCACGTATAACAACTTCAGGTAAAACTGGTTCAGGAATAATTGCTTTAGGAACAAAAACTTCAGGTAAAATCTCATCAGCAGTAACAGGTTCCGGTATTATGTCCTTGGGAATAAATGCTTCTGGTATAACTTCTTCGGCAGTGGCAGGTTCAGGTATATTAACATTAGACGCAAATGGTTCAGGCAAAATATCTTCCGGAGCTTTTAAATCAATCTCTATTGATTTAAGTGCTTGGACATTGGGATCATCGTGTACGTCATTATCAGATACCTTTACTGATTGTACCGATTGTCCTTTTTCTGTTACTTTCTTTTTATTCGAACTAGGCGACTTTCGTTGTGGTATTCCACTCGATTCTGCTACTGTTGAAATAACTGTTATTCCATTCGCTGCATTGATGTCTGAAGCTGCTAACGCGCACCCTTCCTGGTCTGTTTTTACGAAGAAATTTCTGCTGATCTTGTATTTATCTAGAACCCCGTAGATTTTTTGGAGGACTGGCCCCGATGGAAGCCGCTCTCTTGTCATTGCCCATACACTTTCTGAAAATAAAAAAACAATTTAGAATATGGCTGTCAATAAACTCTTAAACCAAGATGAAAATAAGAAAATACTCGTGAAAAAGTATTCTTTGAAAAGAATATTACTTTAAATAAAGAATTTAATAAAAGACGAGTAGAACCAATTGCGACAATACAGTAAAACCTCCCTTAACCGAAACCTTTTAACCGAGTCATCGTTTAACCGAAACGGCTGACTGTTTCAATAATTTCGTCAATAAAAAGTAAATTTTTATCGCAAAATGTAAATTCCATCAATTTCACTCACCGATTGATGCGTATGTGTGTTGGGAAATCCACCAAGACCAAACCAAAACCAAGAGCTCTAAAAGATATTTGTGAAAAAGCACTTCCAGTTTTTTATAGAAGCTAAAAAAGCTCATGGATGTCGACCACTTTATTTTCAGAATGGTTAGAAAATGAATTCGTCCCAAGCGTAAAATCCTTTTTAAAATAAAAAAAACTCTCATTAAAGTATTGTTGCTTGTTGACTCAAAATCTATATAATAGTGATAATTGTCAGATTTTTGCCACCCAATGTCACGAGCTTAATTCAGCTGTTAGACCAGGGACTAATAGAGACATTCGAGAGACATTATAGAGGAGCATTCTTAAGACATATATTATTACAGGAGACAAATGAATCCAAAAGTGTTCCTGAAATCCTCAAATGTTTAACAATTAAACATGTTTATCGGTGTGCTGAGTTCTGGGCCAAGATCAAATCTTCAACTTTGGAAAAATGCTGGAACTAACTTTTTGATAGGATTTTGATTGGCGATCCTGAAGAAGAAAATGGCAAAGAAACGACAGAAGAAATTAAATCTTTAATAAAAAATTTGCCGGGATGTGACGAAATTAAATAAGAAGAGATACGTGAGTGATTAGCAGCCGATGATTTAGAAAGTGAATTCATCGACCAGGACATCATTGATATGGTTCCTCATCCAGACAACTTGAGCGTATCAGACGACGAAGATGACGACCCAACAGACAACAGGCAACATGAGACCGCCGACGAGATTTTCAATGCTTTAAGGAGAAGAATTTTATACAGTAGGCTTAACATGTTAGGGAAACGACTAGGTTCTTAATTTTTGTTATCATTGTATAAAGTTTTGTCCTTTTCAGATTGCTTTACGTTTCGTCGAATGATCAAATGAGGCAAACTCACGACGTTCTGCAAATGAACGATGGAGATATATAGCTGTAAAACATCGTTGTCAAACGATAACGTAAAAGAAAATAGAAGATTTCTTTAAAACACACTTGTTAAACTTGTTCATTTTCCTTAATTGTATTATTACTTATTAGAAAACATTACAAAATCACCTCATAGTATTATTTAACAACAATACTTTAAACAAGAATACTATAAAAAAAATGTTATTTTTAACCGAAATTCTTGTTATCCGAAACGCCCCCCCCCCCATTATTTCGGTTAACGGAGGTTTTACTGTAATAGTATCGGCTTTCGCAATAACAAACTAGAAAGTTTCTTAAGCACTCATCATCATCATCATCATTCAGCCCATACTCGTCCACTGCTGAACATAGGCCTCCCGTAGTTCACCCCACAAATTTCTGTCCTGAGCCGCCTGTATCCAATTTTGATGTGTCCGTTTCAGGTCATCCGTCCATCTTGTTGGTGGTCGTCCTCTATTCCTTAAGGCATCTTGTCTGGGTATCCACTCAATAATGCGTTTTGTCCATCTGCCGTCCTTCGTTCTCGCGACGTGCCCTGCCCAGTTCCATTTTAAGGTTGATATTCTTTTGATTGCGTCGGTTACTCCCGATCTACGGCGCAATTCTGTGTTGGGTATTCGGTCTCTCAGGGTTAATCCCAACATGGACCGTTCCATTGCCCTCTGTGTTGTTCGAATTTTGTTTGCGGACGTCTTAGTAAGTGTTAGTGTCTCCGCACCATAGGTTAGAACCGGCAGCACACATTGATCGAAGACTTTTCTCTTCAAGCAGATGGGAAGAGCTGATTGGAAAACATCTCTTAGCTTTCCATAAGCTGCCCATGTCAACCCTATTCTACGTATTAGTTCATTGGTCTGGTTATTTCTACTTAAGCGAATTTCGTGTCCCAGATATTTGTATGCTGATGTTTGTTCTATACTTGTTCCAGCTATGTTGATGTTCTCACTCAGAACAAGGTTTGTCATCACTTGTGTTTTTGAGTTATTGATCTTTAAACCCACTTGTGTAGAGCACTACCACAAATAAAAAAGGTATAGCAGTTAGACCACATGATATCTCTGGAGCAGTATGGACAGTTCTATAAATTTACTAACAATGTTTAATATAGTTTTATATTGCTTATTAGCCTTACATACCTGATTCAGATCAGCAACAACTAGTAAAAATAGAAAACCAAAACAGAAACCAAAAAAACTAAATGACGTAAATGAAACGGTAGCAATAACGGCAATGGACAAGAAGACGATTGGGATTAAAAACAAGAAAATGAAAACTAATTTGGGAACATGGAACGTAAGAGGCACTTATGAAACGGGAAAACTTAAGGAATTAATTAGAGAAACAAAAAAATATGAAATAGATATATTAGCTTTACAAGAAACAAAACAATTAGACGCAGAAACGGTAGAAATAGATGATATCGTATTTTTTAAAAAGGGGGAATAACAGATTGCTAGGAACAGGCTTTATTGTACAGAAAAGATGGAAAACCAGAGTGATGAATTTCAAGCCGATATCAGATAGAATGTGCACAATCAGGTTAAAAGAGAATCAACGAAACATAAGTATAATAAATGTACATGCACCAATAGAAGACGCCATCGAAGAAGAAAGGAGCATACTATGAGCAACTAGAGAGAGAATATGTAATTGCAATGTCCACATTTCGAAGGCCTCCAACTTATTAATGAAAGGTATTCTTAACGTACATGTTTCCATGCCGTATAACAATATGGACCATACATAGCATTTAACCATAGAGTTTGCAAATCTCTGTCTAGCTGAATTCTCATAGTGGCGTTTTGATATATATATATATATATATATATATATATATATATATATATAATATATATATATATATATATATATATATATAATATATAATATATATATATATATATATATTCTGGATTAACATTCTGTACCGTGAATCTATTCGGCAATTAACTAGCGCTTCTTCCACTTCTTCTTCTTCAAGTGCCGTCTCCATCAATGGAGGTTAGCGGTTATGGTGGCAAACGTTTGTCTATCTTCAGCTGCTCTAAAGAGTTCCTCAAATCCAAGTCCTGTCCAGTTTCTGATATTGCGTAACCAGGACATTTTTTTTCTTCCAATTCCTCGCTTTCCTTCTATTTTGCCTTTTATTATCAACTGAGGGATGTAGTATTTCTCGTTGCGCAACAAATGCCCTAAATAACTGGTTTTTCTTCTTTTGACTGTTCTCAATAGTTCTTTTTCTAAATTGAGTCTAGCTAGTACTTCTTCATTTGTTTTTCGTGCTGTCCAAGGAATTTTTAAAATTCTACGGTACACCCACATTTCAAATGCCTCGATTCTATTCAGGCTCTTTATTTTTAAAGTCCACGTTTCGACTCCGTGGAGAAGAACAGACCAGATAAAACATTTTACAAGTTTTAATCTCAATTTAATATTTATATGTGTATCGCAGAATAGAACGCGCATCTTAAAAAAACTATCCCTAGCTTGAGCAATTCTCGCTTTAATTTCTTGTTCTGGGTCCAGCTTGCAATTAATCCAACAGCCAAGGTATTTGTATTGGTTTACCTGTTCTAAAATATTCCCATTTATTTTTATAGGTAAGGGGATATTCTGTTTTCTTTGGATCACCATTACTTTTGTTTTTTTTTCGTTGATCTTCATTCCAAACTCTCGACAAGCATCCTTAAGGTGGTCTATAACCCCCTGTAAGTTTGTGTCTGTATCAGCCAGTAGGACAGTGTCATCTGCATATCTTATGCTAGATATTGGTTCTCCATTAATTTTTATTCCTGTGGAAAGGTTTTCCAAGGCTTGCTTGAATAGTAGTTCCGAGTAAAGATTGAACAGCATAGGGGATAGTATGCATCCTTACCTTACTCCTTCATTTATACTAATATTTCTAGATGTATGATCGTCGATCCTAATCTTGGCACTCTGCCTCCAATATAAGTTCTTAATTAATCGGAGATCTTTACTATCCAAGTTGATGCTCTGCAAGGAATTTAACATTTTATTATGGTTTACGCGATCAAATGCCTTTTCAAAGTCTACAAAACATAGAAAGACATCCTTTTGTTGGTCGTAACACTTCTGCAGCAGTACTTGTAGTGAAAACAAGGCCTCTCTGGTCCCCATTCCGGCTCTGAATCCAAATTGATCGTATCCAACTTCTTTTTCACACCTTTTGTATACCCTATTGTGAAGTATTTTTAATAGAATTTTAAGCACTTGGCTCATAAGACTTATTAATCTAAAATCTGCGCATCGCCTGGAGTTAGCTTGTTTTGGAATGGGAATAAAAATAGATTCTAACCATTCCTCTGGTATTTCCCCAGTATCGTAGATTGTATTAAACAAAATTACTAACAAATCAATGTTATTACTTTCGATCAATTTAAGTATTTCAGGATAAACTTCATCAGGTCCAGGGCTTTTGTTGGTATTTAATTGTTTAATGGCATATTCCACTTCGACTTTTAGAATTGGTGGGCTTTCAGTAACATTATTTATTGTAATGTCTATTCTTTCTTCTCGGAACAGCTGTTGTATAAATTTTTCCCATTCTTCTATTTTATCTTTGGTGTTATGAATTAACTCTCCGTTGTTATTTACCAGTGGGCAATGTTGTTTTTTGTGGATGAATGAAAATTCTTTCACCTTCTTGTACATATTAAAGTAATCATGTCTATGTTCTAATTCTTCTATTTCTTTACATTTTTCTTCGAGTCATTTCTCTTTTGATTCTTTTATTTTCCTTCGTATTTCTGTATTTAGTCGTTTGTAATCGATTGCGTTCTTATTTTTGTATTTCCTCCTTTCGTCTATCATCTTTAGAATAGCTGGTGTCATCCAGTCTTTTTTTGCCATTAATCGTGTATTTGGAATTTCTTCCCTTGCAGAATTGACGAGGATGGATTTTATTTGTTGCCAAGTTGTATTTATATTTTGGATATTTATTTGGGTTCGGTCTATTTCTGAGAGTTTTTCATTTAGTTCTTCCACTGCCGATAGTTATATGCTGTCAAACGCTTTGTCATAGTCAACAAACGCTAGGTATATTGGAAGGCTGTATTCGTTGGTCTTTTCTATTAATATTTTAAGAATGTGAAGGTGGTCGGTTGTGCTGTACCCCTTTCTAAATCCTGCCTGCTCAACTGATTGGTATGCATCAAATTTGTTGTGTAGTCTAGTTGTGATCAACTTAGTGAAAGTTTTATAGGTTTGTGACAAGAGAGATATTGGTCTATAGTTAGCTAATTTTAATCTATTTCCTTTGTTATATGTCAGAATTGTATTTGCCTTGTTCCACTCTTGCGGTATTTGTCCTTCAAACAAACATTTATTGAAAAGTATCTTGACGTAGTCTTTTATCTTTTTCCCTCCTTCTTTTAACATTTCAATTAGAATTTCATGGTCTCCCAGAGCCTTATTTCTTTTCATGTCTCCAATTGCTTTTTCTATTTCTTCTCCGGTTATGGCGGGTAATATTTCAGAGTTTACATTCACTATTTTCTTTTTCAGGTTTTGTTGAGTTGTATCAGGTGGACTGTTTGTAGGGCTGTAGAGGTCACTATAATATTCCCTTGTTATCTTAGATATTTGAGTTCTTCTTTTTTCTATTACACCTTGTTTATTTTCCATGTCTATGATTTTATTTCTTCCTACGTGGGACTTGATAGATCTTAAGTTTCTGTTTTCTTTTATAATCTTCTCGATTCGTTCTTCTTGATGCCGTTTGAGATGTTGTTTCATATGTCTTCTTATTTCTGTATTAAGGGTTTTGTATTCAGTTGTATTTCTTTTATTTTCTTGTAGTAGGCTTCTCCGTTGTTGTAGCATATCTAATGATATGGCACTTAGTTTTGATTTTTTGTTTGACTTTGCAGGTGCTACTTCTAAGCTAGTCTTTAGAAGTTCTTCAGTGATGGCTTTGTTAAGTTGATCTAGATTTAGGTCTGTTAGCTTTAGTTCTTCAGCTGTTCTTAATTTGTTTTGGTATTGTTCTTTATTTAGTCAGATATATAAAGGCCAATAGACTCAGATGGGCGGGACATGTGATACGTAGTAACGACAATCGCCTTATAAACAATGTGTTCCGGGTAAGGCCAGATGGAAGAAGGTCTGTAGGGCGGCCTAGAAAAAGGTGGAAAGATGCAGTCAGAGAAGATCTTGAGAAGATGGGAGTGCGACAATGGGAATTACTGGCACAGGACCGACAAACATGGAAGGTAATAGTAAACGCGGCAAAGACTCACGAATAGTTGTAGCGCCATTGATTATGATGATGATGATGATGATGATGATGATTGTTCTTTATTCTCCTTTAATTTTTCTGGGTAGACTTTTTTCTTAGAGTGCACATATTGTCTTCGATCTTTTTTGTGTTTAATACTTATTTTAGCCCGTATCATTCTGTTACCACTACCAGTAGAGATTGAGTTTATTACTGTGACGTCTTCGAAAATGTTCTTTTTTTTATATATTTATCAATATTTATATATATTTTTCTACGGTATTTATTTTATTTTTAACATCAACTGCATATCTACGCCGCGGTGTCGTCGACATAACGAATGTTATTTATCGGGAACCCGTTTACCTTTATTCCACACTCAGAGCCTTCCATGGCCTCTGCAAAAGTGTTCTTCACATAGAGATTGAAGAGCATAGGAGACAAAATACACCTCTATCGCACCCCTCTTAAAATTTCAAATACTTTTGTGTTGGTTGATTTGTTCAGTCTCACTCGTGCTTTTTGATTCCAATAGATATTCTGGATAACTCTTATATTATGGGTTTAATTTTTCTAATTAAATCAATAATAAATAAATAAGCTTCAAATATGGAAGAGGAAAATTTTAAGGAGGATTTATGATGCAATAAAGGAGAACAATGGAATTTGTAGAAAATAAACAAATAAAAAACTGAAGATATATGTATATCGAAAATCTTTTAACAGGAAATTACGAAGCATAGAATTAGCTGGTTTGGATATATGACTACAGAGGGAATTCCAAAAACTAGTGGAGTTCAGAAAAAGATAAAAGAGAGATCGACATAAAAGAAAATAGTTGACAGAGGTGACACCCAAAATACATATAGTGGGAGTACAAATAATACTAAAACAGATAGAAGCGATCTGTAGCGCAGAATCATACATTGGAATTCTCGTACACAGATAAGTATATTCAGCTTGCCTGAAAATTCGTCAAATCTATTATCTAATACATGGGAAACCTTTGTTAGTTGATGAGAAAAAAACTATCTAATGAAATTATTAGTGAATGTTTGGAAATCTATTGGGATTGCAGAAAGTATATGCAAAGAACAGAAGGTGAAGAAATTGTTTTCTACTATGTAGATTTTATAAAGTAATGGTAAACTTTAGATACGTAGATGTACAATATACTTACGTGTGTGAATTGGTCCAAAGCCACTGCAACTCCATATAACAGCATAGTTATCATAATCTGTGTCAAGTACTGTGAGTTGTGCTTGAGAAGATAAAGGTGTTGAATATCTAATGTTAAATTTGCCTTCACCAGATCTTCCTGATAATTCTAGCTGGCCATCTATGACTCGTTTTATTCCAGTTCTAAAAAGATGGGATTAATATTATAAAATTTCTTGTAGATAAGTCGATGTTTAATTGATTGTAGAAAAATCGATATTTATACATAGGTCTAAACTTTGCTGTTAGCTCAGTAAAGAAATTATCTCAATATTTACCAACACATGTTGGATCCTGTTTAGTGTTTTTTCTATTATGGAAGTTACTTCCATTTTCCAATTTTATTTCGTAAATAAGGAACAAGATGTAGCAGTTTACATTAAAAATAGAGAGTTGGGGGTGAAAACTTGCCAGAGGAAAGCTGGATTTCTGATCCTGGATCTTGGGAACGTCACAATAGTGGCGACATATATCTCCCCTAATATCCCACTAGGAGATTATAAGAATCTGGTAGAGGAAATAGCAGAAACCATAGTAGAAAAAAAAGACTAATCGTTGCTGGGGATCTGAATGCAAAGTCTATTTCATGGGGGGCGCCAAGGAATGACGAGAGGGGAAAAATGTGGAATGAGATTATCCAGACCCTAAATTTGGTGGTACTCAACAATGGTAAGGCGACCTTCGTCAGAGGAGAAAGTCAGACACATATCGACGTCACAATGGCAACGACGCCGATAAGTAGAAAGGTGGCAGAGTGGGACGTTCTGGATGGAGAAATATTCACTCATCACAAATACATTTTGCTTAAAATTAGAGGAAACGTAACAAAACCAAGGGAAAGAGGCAGGTCAAAATATCTTGACAAAAGAAGAGTTAAAGAGGAAATCCAAGGAATGGAAGCTGAGGCCCGAAACTTCGAAGAGGGATACGAGAAAATAAAAGATATAGCAGAAAGGTGCAGTCCGCGGGGAAGGAGAGCAAACAGTCGTCCCTATTGGTGGACGGAGAGGATTGAAGAAATAAGAAGAGGCTACATCGAGCTAAGAAGAAAAGTCACGAGGGACAGAGTGAGACATCGAGTGATGGAGGAGGAGGTAGAAAGATTAAAAGCCATGAAGAAAGAGCTGGTGCGAGAAATAAGTGGCGAAAAAAGGAGATGTTGGAAAGAACTTTGCGAAAATCTTGAAAATGATATCTGGGGAGACGCCTACCGAATAGTCGTCAAAAGTTTCAAAGGGACAGGAGGCTTCTTTAAGATCGAGGAAAGTCGAAGGAAAGAACTGGCTGAGGCTCTTTTCCCACAGAAGAAAGAAGTAAGATTTATGCCACTCCAATTAGAGACACCGGTGACTGAATTCACAAGGGAAGAGGTGACGGAAGCTGGCAAAACGCTCAAAGCAGGAAAAGCGCCTGGACCGGATAGAGTGGTACCCGACATAATAAAAACCATCATTGAGGATAAAGTGCAATGGGTACAGGATATTATGAACAACCTGCTAAGAAGACAAGAGTTCCCAGGAGATCTGACAACGGCAAATCTCATACTTATCCCTAAACCAGGAAAGGAATTAGAGGAGCCTGGGGCGTACAGACCTATATGCCTGTTAAATACCTTAGGCAAAATCTTTGAGATTTTTGTGAAGGCAAGGCTAGAAAGGGAAATAATTGAGAAGGGTGGCATATCCGACCGGCAGTATGGGTTCAGGAAAGGAAAATCTGCGGTAGAGGCTATAAGCAGGATCAAAAGGGAGATATCCATATGTAGGAGCAGATGGATGGTGGAAAAAGCTGGAATAAAGGTAAATGGAGTTCCCATTAACAACATTAGATATGCGGACGACACTGTGATCTTAGCCGAAAATATTGAAGATCTTTGGAGACTGGTGACCAGAATAGCGGAGTATGGAAAAGAGTATGGTCTAACAATGAACATCAAGAAGACAAAATTTATGAGAATATCGAAAACTCAAAGAAATAACGAGAATCTTCTAATAAACGGAACCAACGTCGAACAAGTGAACAAATATGCATATCTGGGAACAATGATTAACCCCACAAATGATTATACTCAGGAGATCAAAATCAGAATAGAAGAGGCTAGAACACATTTCAACAAAATGAGAAGAGTACTTGGTAAGAGGGATTTAAAATTGGAACTAAGAGTTAGGTTGGCGAGGTGCTATGTTTTTTTCGACTTTATTTCATGGAATGGAATCTTGGACCTTGAATGCGACGTCAATTAAAAAACTGGAATCATTCGAGCTGTGGGTGTATAGAAGAATTCTGAAAATATCGTGGACAGAACACATCACAAACAAAGAGGTTCTGAGAAGGATGAATAAAGAAATGGAAATTTTAAATACAATTAAAACAAGAAAATTGGAATATCTCGGACATATTACACGATCGGAGACATTCATCCGCCTGTGTGAATTCTTAGAAAGACACGTTTCGGGGTTTCGGCAAGCCGAACCCAAGCTTGACGATTTACATATAAAAATCGACGAAATATTAATTGATGAGCAACCAAACATACATTTCTTTCCATATAAATTGAATTACCAATTACTAATTACGGCAAATTTAAAATCAATACTTCCAAAGATTACATGCATACACTCCTTTCTTCATCAACATGCTCTGGAATTTCAGGGTTTATCTTCTGATTTAAAGGGGGTGCTTGAAAAGATGATCAAAGTTGTGACTCAATTAAAGGTAAAATTTTCCGACGGAACTGTTTATAATTATGTGCGAGTTTACTCCACCGCTTCGAGTTAGTTCACCCAATTCTTTTTTATCACGTAAACTTCAGCTGCTATTCAAAGAACTAATTACAAGACTTCTGGAATTAAAAACTGATCTGTGAATATATCAAACATATACTAAATCTCCATTTGCAACCTGAGAAAATGAGTATTTCCCCTACTAGACTTCAAGCACATGGGACTTTTATGGGTGGTCATTTGACTCAACATATATCCCATATAAATCTATAGTACAATACGTAATAACAACTTTAGAAACTATGCCGCCAATTCTTATTAGTACACAAAGCAATTCAAATTAAGGGTTCCTGGCATATGTATGGTCAAAAAACCCTCTTAATTACATACTAGTTCGCTCCAAAAACCATAACCTAGTTGGCTGATGTGGTCAAGCGGATTGAGTATTTATCTATTAAGTTCCAGGAAAATTAACACCAGGAAAACAGGTACTGCGGCTTTTCTATTTTATATTAGAAATTATGTCAAATACTGGTAAAACTTATTTGAAAGCAAAAAGAATGCCAACGGCACATAGTGTCCATTTTCGAGTCCGTGAACTGTAAATTTAGATACACAAGAAAAAGCAACAAATTTTTTTACCGGATCATTTTTCAATAAAAATTGTTCTTTTTGGTTGGTTGTCACGTCCACGGAGTTTAAAGAGTCATGTACTTGATCAACTTCAATAATTTTTCACACAAATCATCCATTGCCTTCCGCATAACACTATTACTTAATGTTTGCCGGTTTAACACTGTTTTTGATTAACTTTCATGAGTATGGTTATGACTACATTCGACTACTCTGTTACATATATTTAAAGTTTTAACAGATGCTTTGCAACTTCTTTCTACACACTGCCAACGTTTGATATTATTAGCAAGCATCTTAAGGAAATTATACTTGTAATTTCCAACTTGACTTGCCCTTTTCACTTAACATTTCCCTTAATTCAAATTTCTCCATCATGAACTAGGTATAACGACATTCAAACTGGAACTAAAGTAATAATGTTAAGATTCGCACCACCCCTATTTCTTATCATACTACAATACAAAATTTCAGGTGGACTACTAATTACCTACCGATCTTTTCAAAGAAATATATTAATTGCAACTTCTGATACGGAAAAATTAAATCAAATATTGAACAAGGGAATATGAGCTCTAACATCATAGTAATATGATTTTACTCTAATACTTTAGTATATAGTAGCATTGTAAGTAGTGTTATATAGTAGCATTGTTTAAAAAAGACTCATTATTTTTTAAACAATGATGGTAGTGTTGTATTATTAGGTAAATACAAAGTTTGAGAAGACATTATTCAAATATCTTTTCTAAGAAATATATGGCCGGAGCGAATTTACCTATGCCCTTTTTCTGTGGGGTATTAACACATTGCAGTATTTTTTTATATGTGATTCATGCTAGGTCAAATGACCTATTAAAAATGTTCCATGGGTTTGTAGACCATACGTTTAGCAGGTTGTGGAAGGAATTCCAATGAACCACTGGTTGGTAGTAGCTTTTCACGTTATTAGTAGGAGATAAAGCTTGCAAAACACTATTCAACTGCTTTTCAGATCTAAGTTTTAAAGCTATAGGGCATATACCTATAATAAAATATGAAAGAAATCTTACAGATTTAGTCACATCTTCTGGATAAAGATTAAAGAAGAAAATCCTGAGCTGGTAAGTGAGGCTTTGATATTAGTAGTTTATTTTGTAATTCACCATCTTAATAAACTCTCTTTCTCTCCAGTGGTTAACAGAAAATCTAAGAACAAACATTGAACCAAAAGTTTAAAAAATAATAAAGAATAATAAGCTCTAATAATTCCAAGCTGTTGAAATATTACTGTACTGTTGGACCTACAACAGACTCCCTTGGGGATCACGAGCCACAGGTTGAAAAACACCGCTTCAGACTATTACCAAACTCAATTTAGATATAGCACACATCAAAATTATTGTTTGTTGTAAAAACATTTAAATAAGTCTGAAATATATCAATAAACCAGAAGGCATACTATTTAGGATAGAGTACTTACAATCGACTTGTAACTTCGTTGGAAACGTAAATTTTTCCACTAGGTCCTTTAGCATAGTCGGTAACAACACATCTCGATGTGACTTCCGTGAATTGAAAATAACGCTCCGCTTCATACCACTTTCCCAAAAAACTCTCGATGTCAAATTCCGACATGGGCAAATAATCGGGACAGAAACCAAGACTTGGAATCTGGGCCCTAGCGAGTACCACTGCACAGCACAACAAGTACACTCGAATCATGTTTGAACTTTGAAGTTTCTTATAGATCCTGAATATTATATATATAGGTGAGTCTTTCAACCGCTATATTATACTACTATCGAGCATTGTCCAGTAGTATTAGGTTGAACGTTGGAAAAAAATCAAAGACAGCAGATTGTCTATGTAAGCGGTTTGTAAGTAATTTTAAAAGTTTTACAGATTTTATATCAATAAATAGATAAACATAAAAAAAGAAATGTAGAGCGTTAAAAATAAAAATTAATTTTGTTTGAGGAGCATAATATTTATCTTTTCCGCGACAGAAATTCCATATTAGGATTTATAGTGTTTTCCTTATGCTTTTTTAGTGAAAGTTTAAATAAATAATTTTACTACTTTTAGGGAGCAACTCACACTACAACCTATAAGATCTATTGTGTCTCCTTTTTCTACAGAGAAAAAGAAGATATTTTTTTTATTATAACTAATAAATTAACAATCGAAATAAAAATGTATTCTATAAGTTAATGTGATTAGTTTAGGTTCTGTCCGTTGTTTCTGACGTGATGTGGTCTCCTTCAGTGAGAGAATCACTTGTCCTTGTTGTTACTGGTCTCTTGGCCAACGTCGCTTTAGTCTTTTGGTAACTTGATGTTGAGGTATTCCGGAAATTAATAGATTAAAGTGTGTGTTCACTTTTTGAATATATTGTGATTTCTTTTGCTGGATTACTTTTTACTGTTAGGATGTTGGGATCCTCAGAGATTCTTTGGTTGATTACGTACCAGGGTGCATCAACAATTACTCTTAAAATTTTAATTGACATCTTTTCATTGCGTAGTCCACGAATGAACTACGTATCAACAACACTTTTTTTCCCACATAAGGAACAATACAAATACACATTCGAAAATACAAGAGGTCAAAGGTCAATGATAGACTACATCCTGACGAACAGGGTAATACATCCCTCTCAAGTATTGGACATAAGAGCACTAACATCTGCAGAAATAGGAAGCGATCATAAGCTTATTCTTGGAAAAATCAGAATGACGACACGCATATGTAACAATAAAAACAATAAAAATAAAAAAGAAGAATACACCACAAAGGTAAAAGTCGAGAGTCTGCAGAACGAATCAACAAAACTTCTATACCAAAAGAGAGTCAAAGATAAACTCGACAACGTGCACATCGTAGAAAGTGATGGAATCGAAGAAAGCTGGGCGAAAATTAAAGCAAGCATCCTAGATTCAGCAAAAGAAGCTGTGGGAGAAAGGAAAATTCTTAAAAATAAATATTTCCAAAAGCGGAAAACTCCGTGGTTCTGCGCAGAAGTGAAAGAAAAATGCAAAGAAAAAAAGAAAGCTTACTTAAGATACATGTCTAACAAAACACCACAAGAATACAACAATTACAAAAAGATAAGAAATGAAACAATAGCATCATCATCATCACAGTCATTAACATCTTAGTAGATGTGTTGTGGTTCATAATTGGGCTTCAGCAGCTCGGACAGTTTGACTGATAAGCAAACAATACACTAGTAAGAAAAATTAAAAACGAACACTGGGAACGCTTCTCAAAAGAAATGGAACACGACTTTTACGGTCTACAAAAGGAAATATGGCGTTTCATAAGAGGCCAAAGATCAGAGATGAAAGACTTAATCGAACCGAAACACATAGATAACGACACGGATTGAATACCTAAAGAAGCTTTATAAATCAGCAAATGATGTTAGAACCAGAAACACCAGAAATCATTACAAACGAGGAAGTCGAGATAACCGTACAAGAAGTAAAAAAAACTTTAGAAAAACTGAAGAACAGAAAAAGCTGCAGATAAAGATGGAATTCCAAATGAATTATTGAAATATGGTGGAGAAGCATTAACAGAACAGCTAACAGCACTAATTAACAAAATCATCAAACATAATAAAATACCTGAAGAGTGGAAGAAAAGCGAGCTTATCCTACTATACAAAAAAGGAGATAAAAAACAACCTGAAAGCTACAGAGGTATCAACTTATTAAACACCACTTTGAAGCTTACAACCAAAATATTGCAAGGCCAAATAAATCAGAGAATTACCTTAGCGGATGAACAGCAGGGTTTTCGGACAGGAAGATCGTGCACAGATGCAGTATTCATCATAAAACAGATTACCGAGAAAGCACTAGAGTATAACAGACCAGCATTCATATGTCTAATAGACCTGAAGAAAGCGTTCGATAAAGTAAAGCTTAAAGATGTAATTCACCTTCTTTACGATAGAGAAATTCCACTAAATGTTATAAAAACAATAGAGAACATTTACCAGAACGACAGTATGGAAGTCAGAATAGATGACCAGGTTACAGATCCAATAGATATGGGCAATGGAATAAGACAAGGAGACTCGCTTAGTCCAACGCTATTCAATCTAATCATGGATGAAATCATCAATACTATTAATAAAGGAAGAGGATACAAAATGGGGAACAAAGAAATCAGAATACTCTGCTATGCAGATGATGCGGCCCTAATTGCATCCAATGAAGACGATCTACAAAGACTAACCCATATATTCAACACAAGGGCAAAGGACTTTAATATGGTGATCTCTACACAGAAAACTAAAACAATTGTAATCAGTAAAGAACCAATTAGATGTAAACTGGAAATCGACGGTATCAGCATTGAGCAAGTAATGGAGACAAATTACCTAGGAATTACACTGTCTAGCTACGGAGATGTGGAGAAGGAAGTGAAAAATCAAGTACAAAATACTAATAAAATAGCAGGTTGTCTTAATAACACGATATGGCGCAATCCCCACATTAATACCAACGTGAAATCAAGAATCTACAAAGCAACAATAAGACCAATAATGACATACACTTCAGAGACAAGACCGGCTACCTCCAAAACTCAGCAACTACTAGAAACAGCGGAGATGCGTTTACTGAGGAGAATTACAGGAAACACACTGAGGGATCGAATGAGGAGTGAAGAGATCAGAAGAAAATGCAATATACCAGAAATAAATGAGTGGACACTGAACAGAAAAAAGGAATAGAACGAACACATAAACAGAATGGAAGAGACCCGATTAGTCAGAATAGCGAGGGACAAATCACCAAAAGGTAGAAGAAGTATCGGGCGACCACGCAAAAGATGGAGTGATAATCTCCAATAGAGGCATTAATCGACATTGAATAAGCATTTTGCTTATAAAAAAGAAGAAGAAGAAGAAGATCTTTCCATTATAACAAAATTGGATCTACTACTCCAACTTAACAGCTCTGTGTCATATGTTGATATTGGTTGGATAACAACTGTTTTATAAATTAAAATTTTATTATTCATTGTCACAAGATTTGCTCTAGATGTCTCTTCTTCTTCTTACGGTGCCTATCCGTTCCGGATGTTGGCAATCAACATGGCTATCCTAACTTTGCTTGCTGCTAGTCTCAATAGTCTGGTTGTCGATGTATTAAACAACTTTCTCAGATTTTGAAGCAAACGGAGGAATCGTAATTAATGGAGAGATTGTAAATAATACGCGGACGACACTGTACTAGTTGCAAGAATAGTAGAAGAATTACAAAGATTACTTACAGACATAAATATTGCTTGCAACAATTATGGTATAAATATCAATATTAAAAAAAACAAGTATATGGTCTTCAGTAAAAACATGACACAACCAGCGTATATTAGTATAAACGGCACTCAAGTTGAAAAAGTATCAAGTTACAAATACTTGGGAACTTTAATAAACGAAACTGGAGACCAAAACAGTGAAATAAAAAGACGTATCGAAATTGCCAGGGCCACCTTCATAAAGATGAGAAAATTCTTCTACAACAGAAATATAAGCATCCCTCTACGATTAAGAATGCTGAGAGGCTATGTATTTAACACGCTATTATACGGTGTAGAGGCCTGGACTCTCAAACAGAACAACATGAAAAATATTGAAAGTTTCGAGATGTGGTGCTACCGTCGAATGCTGAAGATTAGTTGGGTTGAAAGAATAACAAACTGTGAAGTAATTACGAAGAATAGGAAAAGACCCAGAGATTTTGTTAACGCTAAAGCGAAGAAAACTCGAATATTTTGGTCACCTGATGAGAGGACATAAATACGCATTACTTCAAAATATAATGCAGGGAAAAATAGAAGGAAAACGGAATCCAGGCCGTAGAAGAATGTCATGGTTGCGGAATTTGAGAGAGTGGTTTGGCTGCACCACTAATGAACTCTTTAGGTCAGCCGTAAACAAGGTCAGAATAGCCTTGATGATTTCCAATCTCCGATAGGAGTGGCACAAAAAGAAGAAGGAGATTTTGAAGCCAAGATATTCTTCTTTTCCCTGGTCCTCTCTTTCCAAATATCTTGCCCTGAAGACTGAGTTGCAACAAGCCGTATCTCAGTTCATTCCTCATAACATGGCCAAGATATTTTAGTTTGCGCTCTTTGATGGTGTTAATAATCTCGCATTCCTTGCCTATTCTAAGTAGGACCTCAACATTAGTCACACGATCCACCCATGAAATTCTTAAAATACATTTTGGTAGCAAGTGGTAAATCGTGACTTCTGAAAAGAGACTTCATCATTATGAACGCTGATCTCGCTTTTCCTATGCATTGTTTTATTTCACTGGAGTGATCCCATTGGCTGTTCATGTTGGTACCAAGGTATGTGTAGCTAACTATCCACTCTGTCAATTGGATGTTGGTTAACCAAAAGCTGTGTATTTAATATTTCGCGCTTACTGACTACCATGTACTTTGTTTTCTTCGTATTAAGATCAAGTCCGTGTTCTCTACTTATATCTGATATACGCGACATTATTCTTTGCAAACCCCTCTAGATGTAGCCCAAGATATTTCGTTGTTTTAGTCCTGGGTATTTCCTCACTGTTGATATACATATATGGGTGTTGGTGATTCTCGTCGTAAAGTGAAATTTGTGTGGGTTGAGTTGCTTTCATTTATTTTTATTGTCCATTGTCCTAGTCAGTTTTTAAGTTCATACGTAGTCGATGTGT